ATATAAATACAGCTTATATAATTTCTAAATATAATAATTATATATTTATAACTTATATAATAATTTATTTAACTTATGTATGGTCCTAGTTTCTGTGGCATAGGAAAATAGTTCCTGATGATCTTCCTTTTTACGTGCCTGAGCACTGATATCATATCTCCATTCAATCTTTTCTCTAGACTGAACATTCCAAGTCATTCAGCCTGTATTCCTAGGGGATGTCCTCAAGTTGCAGTATCATTTTTATTGCCCTTTTTTTGATCCTGTCTAATCTCTCAATATCCTTCTGGAACTGTGGATCATTCATAGTACTCCAGATGTCAACTCACTAGTACAGAGTAGAAAAGAATAAGGACTTCACATGTGTATCTTTCAGTGCAACCCAGAACTGTGGTAGCTCTTCTAGCACCTGCCTCACACTGCTGGCTCATGTTCAGTTTGTTGTTAGTGACCACATCCAGTTCCTTCTCCAATATATTGTTTCCAAGCCTTATTGTTATATGTGTGTCCTGCTTTTTTTCCTTAAATGTAATACCTTAAATGTAATATCTTACATTTCTCTCTGTTAAAGGACATCTTGTTCCTCTCACCCCAGTCTTCCAACCTGTCCACTTAGACACCCCAGTCTTCCAACCTGGCCAACTGTTGCCTTGTTCTGACATACTGAATGTTGCCCACACCTCCTAATTTTGTTCTGTTTGCAAATTTGATAGGCAGCTCATCAATTCCGTCATCCAGGTCATTAATAAAAATGTTGAATAATATTGGCCCCAAGACTGATCCTTACAGAACCTCACTAGCTACTCCAACTCAACATAGAACTGTTAACACTGTCTGAGTGTAGTTAGCCAGCTAGTTGTGGACCCCTTACTGTAGCATTATCCAAACCTCACTTAAAAATAGTTTGTCAGTAGGAATGTCATAAGCTTTGTCAAAAGCTTTGCTGAAATTTAGTGGACAAGGGGATATAAATTAATTTGGTTTCAGCAAAGCTTTTGACAGATGTGAGATATGTCTCATGACCTATTTTTGGCAATGCCATACTGAGTCTTAGCAGTCATGGGATGGTTTTCAAGATGCTTCTAATTAGACTGTTTTATTATCTATTCTAACATTTCAAGTGCTGATGTTAGGCTCACTGGTTAATACTGCAATCTTATTTTTCCCCTTTCTTGAAGAAGGGGACCACATTTGCTTTTATTTAGTCATCTGGCATCTCCCCAGTTCTATAGGGCTCCTTCAAGATAATTGCCAGAGGTCCTGACAGTTCTTCAGCCTTCAATATTTTAGTTGTATTACATCAGGGCCTGGCACCTGAAGGCATTAAAATTAGCTAGGGGAACCCTTAATCACATCCTTACTGACCTGCATCCTCCCCTGTTGTATTTGTTGCCAGTCTCTGCTATTCAAGCCACCATTTCCATTGGATGTAAAGACAGGCAAAACAGGAAGTATTTTGAAAGAACTTTATAAGTAGTAGCATTTTCTTCAGAGAATGGGTTGCACCCAAAGAAAATGGAGCATCAAATAGTGTAATTGCAGACTAGATATCTTTAGTACCAGCAAGTGGTGCTAAATCTTACATTAGAGAAGAACCATTTATATGTAGGCTGTTATTTTACAATGCTAACTGCTGTATTTTTATGTGGTGCTCCTAACCTCTATATTTCTGCACTCTCGATGTCTGGATTATGGATGTCTATTACCACAATCTGTAGAACTTCTTATATTGAATCACAATGGGCACAGGAAAAAATTCAGTTCTTAATTGTTAAATTGTTTACCATCTCTTCCCATCTGGACCAGTTTTCGAGATTAGTATTTCTGGAGGGGCAGCTTTTCCCACAAAGCAAATATTTGAAAATCTTTTTCATGTTGTAGTGTTCTCAGGGCAAAGCAAAGTGTTCTCAAGGCAAAATACACAGATCATGGAAACTATGGATGCTCAGAACAAAGGTATATACAAACAATAATCAAATAAGAGGTCAGTGATCCTTAATTCTTGAAGAACTACAGGTTGGAAAACAGGCCAGAGACTTTCCTATCAATGCAAGTGACACTAGAAAATGCTCTAAATATTTCCTATAATGTTCTACACATCATTTGATAGGAAAATAGAATCGATTGATCGAGCTATCTATTTAATTTCTAGGTAACCCAACTCCAAATGACTTGATAACTTGACATTTACAAGAACTATACAATCAACAGTAAAGCCCATCATTTGACAAGAACAGCACCCAAACTCTCTCCCTCACCAACAGCGACAAAAACACACAGAATGCAACCATATTTATCCAAGGCCTGGGGGAAGAGCCATGTTTTCAATGCTCTTTTAAAGGCCGGTTAGATGGTATGTGGGGTCATACAAATCTCTGGTGAGATGGTGTTCCATAGGGCAGGTGCAATGACAGGGAAGTCCTGCTAAATGGCATGCTCAACTGACACCAAGAACAAGCCAACTCTAATAGTTCTAAAGACCTGGTGGAAATCACAGAAGACAGACAGTCCTTCAAATAACTAGGCTCTATGCCACATAGGGCCTTAACGGTAACAACCAGCACTTTGAATTAAACCCGGAAACCATGTGATAACCAGTGTACCTCACAAAGTATATATGGGTTATATGGGCATATCATGACCAGCCCAGTAATGCTCATGTTGCTACATTCTGTAACTTCTGAGTGGTCTTC